TACACATCAAACACTTCACTCCACGTCCATCACCAACTATTCCACAATCAACAGAACCACAACAAATAGAACCACGAACATCAGAATTACCACAAAATTCTGATAAACAAAAATCTGCTCAACCACAAATAGAAACTCAACCAATAACTTCTGATCATCCAGAAAAACAAACCACAGAAGATCAACCAGAAAAAGACTCTGTCATTCCTCCATCAACAATTCCATCTTCTGAACCTGTAGCACCTGTTACTTCTGAACCCTCTAAAGTAACTTCTGCTCCTGTTTCATCTGAACCACCATCTCAACAACCTGATATTCCTTCAGAACCATCTCATATCCCTGAGACAGAAGTTCTTGACATCACTCCATTAAAAACAGTGTTTCAAGTCTCTTCTACCTCTTGTACACCTGAAACATCTTCAAATTCATCTGAATCAGAAATTCATCCTGATTTTCTGATTAATCCATCTGACAAATATCATGTCCATGACCCTGAACCTGAATCAACCTTACCTACCAAATCTACCATTCCAGAACCTATGCCTCCTCCTGTAACTTCATCTGAGATGATTGTTCCTACTTCTAATCCATCATCATCTGGAATATCTTATGCCCAAGTGTCTTCTCTTTATCATAACTTATCTTATGGTTTCAAACTTAAAGATTTTTATGATAGAGTGGAGCCCTCTGAACCCTTGAAACCTCTGAAACCTAAACTCAAACCGACCCTTCCATCTGTAATCCTTTCATATATTAAATCTATGGAAAATGAAGGATCCTTAGCCCCCATATCTGCTACATCTGGTAAAGCTGCTGTTTCAGCTCTGCATCCTGCATCTGACAACACAGTTGCATCTGATAAACCATCAAACTCTGCTTTCGTACCATACTCTAATGCATTCTTTGATGTTGTTTACCCACGCACCAGACCTCAACCAAATCTGCTTAATGCTTTAAACAGATCCCTTCCTCAGAAACCAGAAATTCCATTCTTTCCATATGTTCCCCCTCCTCTGATTTCCATTCCTAAATCACTGATTCCACCAACTCCAAAACCTAAACAGATGACTCTGGAAACCTTGCTTAAACCTCCACCCAGACTTAATATTGAACATTTATTTCAAACGTTTTTGCAAGAAATACAGATGTCTTTAGGTACTGTTCAGAAAAGATGTTCTGAAACTATGGATGCAAATGAGACTGAAATCATCTGGAAAGGATTTTTGAATAGATTCAACACTATAGCTTCTAATCTGAAGAACATCTGTTCTGATGATGCAAAGCTCAGAGCTGAAAGAACTCAATTCTGGATTGAAAACAAGACTGAACCTCTACTTTGTTTGGATGCTCCTCCACCTCCTCCTCCACCAGAACCAACTGCCACTGCATTAACTATGACTCTGGTAGAACCCTCTTCAGGATCTCCAGAACATATGGCAATTGACTCTGTTCAGGATACAGAACCTCCATCATCAGAGATAAAGACAGAAAATCCAGATTTGGGAGACAAGATTGCTGCTCTGGAAGCTGGTCAATCTGAAATCAGATCTTGGATGGCGAAGCAAGACAAGAAATCTGAGGACATGTTAGAATGGATGTCTAAACAAGATGAGAAGAATGAGACAATAACCAAGTTCATGTCAAAGCAAGAGCAATCACAATCTGAGATCACAGACCTATTGAAGATGCTTTTGTCAAAACATTCTTAGATTTTTTTTCTCATGTTTGTGCATCTGTTGTTTTTGCATCTGAATGTTTTTGTTATATCTTCTGATGTACTTTTGCTCTGTTATGATTAATTGAATCAGATTGTTATTCTCCATTGAATTATCTGCTATTGTCCCTTTTATTTGTTTTTATTAAAAGTTTTTTACTTTTTGCTTATGACAAAAAAGGGGGAGAAAATAAAGATCTGAACTATTTAATATAATTTCACTAGAATGAATCTTCAGACATATCTAATCTTTCTAATATCTAAATTGACTATTTCAGAACATTTGATAAGAACTCACTATAAAAGAATCTCTGAGCTTCTCAGATCATTTATCTTTTATCAAACTCTGAATCTCATATCTGCAAGATATTCTGACCCTTAATTATTACAAAGACAAACAAGATCTAACTCTGAAGATTACTCAAGATAAAAAGGGAAGTTTCTATTCCTTTTTCATATTCAACTCAGGGGGAGATTCATCATCTCAGGGGGAGTTATAATTCTTTATGTTCAATTAAATAAAATTTCTGATACTTTTTGTCATCATCAAAAAGGGGGAGATTGTTAGAACACAGATTGGTTCTTAATAATTACTCTTTGTTTTGATGATAACTGTTAGGAAATTTATATTTAAGAATTATATACTCTAAAATTTGTTTGAGAGTTTTACTGCAGATTAAATTTATATTGACTCTCTAGAAGCAAATCTGCCATTGAATACAAGAAGCTATCCTGACTCTGAAGCGCCAGATGCACCTCACAGAAGAATCTGCTTGCTCCTTACAGAAGATCCTGAGCGTAGTCTCCAGAAGGATCTGAAGAAAGAAGCTCCAGAACATTCTGAGTCAGAAGCATCTGAAGATAATCAGAAGCATCTGAAGATAGTCAGAAGCATCTGAAGCTGAAGCATCAGAAGTATAGAAGAATACTGACTGAAGAGTTTCTCAAAGCATTAGTCTACAGAAGTTTCTGAAAGTACCTACGCTGCCTAGTACTGAAGTTCTGTGTCAAAATGCTCTGATGATCTACACGCTAGAAGCACACTCGCTGCAGAAGACTCTGATACAGCATAGTTCTGAATCTCATCAGAAGACTCTGATCCATTCAAATTCTGAAGAACTTGCTGAAACTGAAGAAGTGTTTTTCAAGAATGTATCCGTTGGAACTATTCAACGTCTCTTTCCTTATTTGTGCTAGACACACTTACACAGACAAAAAGGATTTATCTGTGCCATCTATTTCAAGGAAAGGTCAGTACATGTGAAGACAAAAAGGCTCAGACCTTTTGAGACTCTCTTTTCAACGTGCATGATTCAGCTGCCTATAAAAGGAGCTCCTCACTTTATTCTTCAGTGCTACACGCTTGCTGAAAGAAAATATAACATTCTATAAGCTCTCATTCTTAAATTCTTCATAGAATCTCATTGTACTTAAACTTAAGAGAAAAATCACTGTTGTGATTATAGCTTTATAAAAGCATTAAAAACTCTTGTATTTAATTTATATTGATTGTAAAGGATATTCCTTAAGAGGATTCAGTGTGAATCAGTAGCTCTTGAGAAGACTAAGAACTGTAGTTCTTAGGTGATACTATTATAATCAGTTTGATTTAATAGTGGATTAAGTCCTTGTTGAGAAAGGCAAATCACTCTGGAAGGGTGGACTGGAGTAGTTGTTTAACGAACCAGGATAAAAATAATTGTGTGATTATTTTTAAGTATTAATTTTCCATACTTATTCAACCCCCCCTTCTAAGTATTATCTCACCTTCAGATATTTGTGGTAATGCAACTGTGAGGTGGCTCTATGGAAGCTATCTTCCAAGAATCGCTTCTCTTGCTGTAAGACGTAGCAAGCCAAAACTTGCAAAATGGATTACGACAAATAATGACATACCTTCTCGAATCAGTTCGGTGTATATTGAAATCAACAGAGTTATCCATGTGATATTTTTAATGGCTCGTACACAATCTTCCTTGGTACGAAACTGGTCTCCCACATTTAATTCATTATCTGACCGTATATACGAGTTGTGAACATATCTGCAAATCTCTCATAGTCTTGCAAGCCCAAGTCCGTCATATGTTGAGGCAGGCAATATGCATGACCTGGAGGTACTAGAACTTATTCGTCATCTTCAATGTTGTCGTTCAATAGTTGATTGGCTAACGTCTTGCTTCCTTCTTCTTCTCCATCAATGACGTTGACCTCCGATTCAGTTTCATCTGGGTATTCTGATTGGGTTTCATCTGGGTCTACAACTGTTGATTGATCGATGATCTGAGACCCAACCACAATACCAAGAGCGTCCCTCATACCATCTTCAACACACTGACTACTATCCAGAAACCCAATATGGCTATGTCCCAAACACAACATCAAGATATAGCCATAATGAGGGTACATCATACCATAACCATAACGCCCAAACATCTTTCCATAGCCAAAACGCTCCGACATCATACCCTAGCCTACACACTCAACCATCTCAATAACCTTATGACTTTCAAACACCACTATCATTTCAACCTTTCACCGACGAATCATTCACACCAATGTCCCCTTTCAACCGTCCAGACCGCACACCAATGACCCCTTAATCACATATGAACTACTTTGTCATGGGTCGCGCACTCAGTTTCAACGCACAAGACCTAATGGAAATGCAAGAAATCCTTAGGGAACCATCTGAGAATGTTCCTGAGACTTCAACTCCTCAAACACCTGACATGAATCAACAACGAGGGGGCCAGGCGCAACGAGTTACAATGACTAGGGGATGTGGTACCGGTGGCCGATATGACCCACCCGGTCACCAACATTAGTTTATGTAATAGTTTTTTAATTAATGATAATATTATTTATTTTTCGTAAAAAAATTATAAAATATACCATGTCTCTAGATGAATTGGCGACAAGGTATTAAGTCCATAACACAAGCGCAAATTAGATTGGAGACTGCATGAGGTGTCTCTAATTCAATTGGCGACACCCTTATGCCCTTAACAAAGAGTCGCCAATTAAAATGACACTCTTGGGTACTCAGAAATCCTAATTGAAGTACTTTGGAAATATTTTTTATTTATTTTTTAAATTGGATTATTTAAGTAAAAAATTCACCATATTTAAGCATAAAATAAATAGAAAACTTTCTACATTCCCAAATTAAATAATCTCCTTTACATTTTTGTCAAAAGAATATTTATTAAACCGAAAACAAAAAGAGTAACAACCCTACTGTCTGAACTGAAGCCAAACCCTCGTCTGTCCCTCACTCGTTCCAACAATGAGTCACAAGGAGGTATCCGCCGTAACACTCGGCGGCAAGGGTTCATCTCTCTCTTCCTCCTCCGTCTACGCCACCGCCACTGGCCAATCTCAAGTCCGAATAGACTCATCCGCACTCGAACGGTTATCCTCAACGCCGTCGCTAAAGCAAAAAATCAACATCCCCGAATTCCTAACCCTAGAAGAAACAAGAGCCTTCCTCATCGTCCTTCTCAACAAACTCCTCCTCTGCAACTCATCAAAGCACGTTCCGTTATGCATATCAGAAGCACTCAATTTGAATCATAAGAGTTTTCATTTCGAAGAAGAACTTGATGTGACTGAAGACGAGCAGTCATTGTTGATCAATAATGCATGTTTAGGGTTGATTGGTGTTTCTGCGGTTTTGGATCATCAATCGACGGCATTGTCTGCTTTTGCTGATGTGGCTGCAGCGTTTTCTTGTGAGGCGTTGAAAGCTGATGTGAGTGTTTTCAATTTGATGGATTCCGGTGATGGACATAGTTCTAAGGAGGAAGTTGGAGTTGCTGGTGATATGAGGATTTTGCTGAATGGATCTAAGTTTGTGGGAAAAGAAACTGTTTCTTCGGTGGTGAAAATTCCGAAAATTCATGGGATTATTAGGGAGAAGGCGAAATCAGTGCATGCTAGAATGCGAGTTGAGTTGAATTCCGGTCATAAATTGGGGAAAATTGAGCTTGGGAGTGAGCATACTGTGTGTAATGTGTTGTTGCCATTGGCAATGGCATTGAGGGAATTGGGTGAGTGTAGTTTTGCTCGTGCGCAGAGTAACTTGTTGTCTATTGGTGGTGATGATTTGAGATCGAAAGTTGGTGAAATCTTTGGGAAAGAATGTCCAACTGATGCTAGTTTGGTTAGTAGTTTTAATGAATCTTTTAGTTTGTATTCTGGAAAGGTGTATGATAAGTTTGCACATGAAATCAATGTGTTGTTTGGCCTTGTGTGGAAAATTGTGGCATGGGAACTCGTGACTGCTTATGCTGTACTTGAGGCTGCTGAGTTGAATGAAAAGATCCAAGGTGCTACAGAAAATGGAGAGAATTCTAAAGTAGAAAAGAAGAAGAAAAAAGCTGTTTTGGGAAAAGGAACTAGTTCGATTTTGCAGTTGATTAAGGATAGGCTGCAGAGTGATGAAAAGAGTGATGTAGAGAAATTAGGGCTATTGGAGACTTGGGTTGCTGATTTTCTATTGTTTTTGGATTTGGCAAGACCTGAATTCAATGAATTTTTATTGAAAGTAAAGGATGTTGTAGAAAGCAATGAAAGCAGAAGATTGCCCAAGATTCCTAAGGTAATTTTACTGTATTCTTTTATGAATGAATAAAGTTAACTTTGTTAGGCATGTTATAATTCTCTTAACTTTATCACTTTTTTATAGACAAATAATAACTATGTTTTAACATGGTAATTGATGATATCTCTACCCAATGCATTTGCGCACTGTTTTGAGCATTAAAAACGGTTCATCTAAATGGGCAGTTATTCAAACTTTTGTTGAATATACCAATCTATGAAATAGTTAAGTTTGATTGATATAAGCTTATGTATTGTATCATCATATTTCGTTATGATTTGCGTAAATATAAAATCAGAATGTAGATAACTACTATGTTAAGGCTATGTATTTTTTGTATTTGAATGCTACCTTAGGTTTTTTATTTTATTTTACTATGATTCTGTATTAGTACTACTTTTGTGATTTGAGCCTACAACATTTCTTACAAGTTTAAGTAGACCCTCGAGTATGGCAATCTTGGTAGAACTATAATCTGATCTGATAATGACACAAGCGTGATAATTTCATTGTTAGATCATATTTCAAGTAATCTTGTACATGGTGTTATTGTTAATCATAGACAATCCAATTCTTACCTCATGTAATGTGGAATTGGTGTTATTTCTTTAACTTATATTGAGACATTAAGTTAATGGGTTGTCTATCAATAATGGATTTTTTTAATGTTTATTTCTGTTCCTGGTTGGGATGCAATTGTTGGTAGTCTTACCTTGAGTATCACAATGTGACAATATCAGGGGACACGTGATTTTGCTAAAGAACAAATGACAATTAGAAAGAAAGCATTTTCAGTAATAGAAGAAGTTTTTGAGAGGCACGGTGCCACAGCCTTGGATACACCCGTCTTTGAATTGCGAGAAACTCTCATGGGAAAATATGGGGAAGACTCAAAGTTGATTTACGATCTTGCTGATCAGGTACATATGTTTATTGCTTGTTCACTTCTTGACAAGTTGAGTTGATTTATGACAATTTTTCTCCAAATAAAAATGATGAGAAAAAAAATTAAAGCATTCAAAATAATGAACAAATTTGGATGTTTTTGCTCTGTAGAATATTCCCTTCTGATATTTTTGATTGCTTTCATGAATCTAGACTTCTGCTTTTTAAGACAGACCAGCGTTAAGGTCCTCAGTCATAATGGTTCCCACTTCCCACCGAAACCATAAATAAAATTGAATTTCATTTCAAAGCTAACTGGTAACAACTTGTTTGACAGGGTGGGGAGCTCTGTTCTTTGAGGTATGATTTGACAGTTCCATTTGCTAGGTTTGTAGCTATGAATGGTTTGACATCTTTGAAAAGGTACCAAATAGCTAAGGTCTACAGAAGGGACAACCCATCTAAAGGAAGATACCGTGAGTTTTATCAATGTGACTTTGATATTGCTGGTCCAGCTGAAAAAATGGCTCCAGATTTTGAGGTTGTGAGAATTTTGACTGAATTGCTTGATGAGCTGAACATTGGGGATTTTGAGGTAAATTTTTATAACATTCATGCTGCAAAAAATATTGGTTTTCTGAATTTGTAGCAGTGTTGTCAAATATCAGTTATGGCAGATATCAGTGGCAGATTTATGGCTCTCTGCCACAGCCAAATTTGTGAAGGACGGTGAAGCCATGATGCAATACGTCGGATATGGCAGCACTATATGTTGTTTTTTGGGTTCTCCACCATGATCCGCCATCCATAACACTGATCTATAGAACTATCTGCCATCCATAACACTGATCTATAATAGAACTATTTAGACATTACCGAGTTTGTGATTTGATAGTTCTTTATCCTTTATTTTTCATTGTCTGTTTATATGTATTTTGGTGATCAGTTTTTCACATGGCACAATATCAGAATATGTATTAGTATATGTGCCGGGATTTTAAGTTTTCATTATATATTTTGAAGTAGAACTTTTAATAGCATATTTGTCGGCATCAAGTCTTAGACATATGTTGCTATCCACCTACAGATTGATGTCTTTTTGCAATGTCGTGCTAAAGCTGAACGATTTTAATCAACCCGACTCGTTTCAATTATGAGATTGCCTGCTGGCTAATGATCTTGTTAAATGTTACTAGTTTACGCATCCCTGCTTATTTGCTATAACTTACCCGTATAATATCATTAGTTTGGATGTGCCTGGTGATTGAGTTTTGTGCACCTGTGATCTTGTTAAATTTGACTAGATTACTCATCCTAGCTTATTTGCTATAATTTAACTTTATAATATCGGACGTCTGGTGATTGACCGGGCTTTTCCAATTCAGTGTTTAAGTTTCCTTTTTAATAATGTCTTCAAATTATATATTGTGTGTTATGTTATGACCTTTCTGTTGTAAATCTTTTCATTTCACAGGTGAAGTTGAATCATAGAAAGTTACTGGATGGCATGATGCAAATATGTGGAGTGCCTCCTGAAAAGTTTAGGACTATATGTTCAAGTATTGACAAATTAGACAAACAATCGTTCGAACAGATAAGAAAAGAAATGGTGAGGACCTATGTTGTTTGTTTCTATTTCCTTTATAATTATTTTTATTTTGATTGAGTGTTCCAATTTTAACGTGCTTAAACTGTTCTGTGTTGCACATTTTGAAAGATGTAGGCTTTTATTTTATTTTCATTTTCTAAATGCTTTATATAGTTTATGCTTTATCAATCGGAAATAGTTTGATTTAGGGATGGAATTCAAGTTGGTGCCTTTGCATTTTTTTTGGTAAATATTGTTGCATGATTTATTGAGGATGCCATCACCCCGTCATTGGTTACTTACTACACCGAAACATTTTCTATTGTTGTTTCTTCATTTATGATGAGTGTCTGGATTGCATTATTTTCGATTTTGCATCCATCTTCTGTTCTGCTGTTACTGGTAACCTGTACAATTTCAATTGTTGGACTTGATCAAATGAAAATGGCTTATTGAATGCATTAGACTGAGTGTTTTATCTTTTAAGTCTGGTGTTATTATTTTTTCTTTTTTTGAAATATATGATAGCGTCATTTTATTGTACTTGGAGGATTAACTTGCATTTCATCAATCTGATGTGGGCTGGAGTGAGTTGAACAAATATTGTGAGTAGTGTCATTTAATATTTTGTTTACATTTTCCTTTATTAAAAACTGCATTCGCAATTTAAATGTTCGGAGAACTATGCAAGTATATTGCATTACAATGGCAAAGGATTTTGAGACTTACGATAGTTGTTGGCTTGTTGCCTTTTAGAATATGTCTGATGTCTGATGACAATTCTTTGTAACATTAATATTCACTCTAAACTGTTAACATCTGGAAGGTATCTTTTGTAATGCCATGATTTCTTAAGTTTAGTAATGTGGTTTTTACTAACGTCCACGCTGTATGTAATGCCATGATTTCTTTTGTAATGCCATGATTTCTTAAGTTTAGTAATGTGGTTTTTACTAACGTCCACGCTGTAGGTGGAAGAGAAAGGATTAACTGCTGAGACAGCCGACAGAATTGGAACTTTTGTTAAAGAAAAAGGACATCCTTTAACATTATTATCTAAACTTAAACAAGAAGGCAGTGCTTTCTTAGAAAATGCTGGATCTGTTGACGCATTGAATGATCTGGAAATTTTATTTAAAGCTCTGGATAAATCAAAACGCCTTGATAAGGTGGTTTTTGACTTAAGTCTTGCCAGAGGTCTTGATTATTATACTGGAGTTATATTTGAAGCTGTTTTTAAAGGGGGTGCTCAGGTAATCTCATGTCTTTAAATCTTATCTTCATTCTGAGATGTTTATTCTCTAGTCCCTTCATTCTTTGAGGGGCACAATTCATTATATCAGCCCAGATATAGTGGATGTTCACTGTCTTGTACAACTTTAGATGCAACAAGCTAGATCCATTTTCACAATTTGTTTTAAATCATGCTAGTCTAAACACAAGATGTAATGAAGAATTAGAAGTACTTTTCTGGGGTTAAACAAAAGGAGCTTGTACACTAAAAATAGGGTTGAAAAGAGATGAAGTAAATTAGTTGAAAAGTCATTTTAATTTTTAATAATTAAAATTTAAATCTAAGTCATATCAGGGAGCAGAAGCTTTAGACTTTTTTTTTGAAAGAGATATTAACTTTAATAGGGAAAGTTTTGTATGAAAGATTGTAGATTGAAACATTGTTAATGGTTTTAGACTTTAGTGGACAAGATAATAGGAGATGAGAGAGTGGGGTTTAAGGTTCAATTCTTGTTTATATGGGTTCTAATAGTCTGCCTTCTAAATTAGGATTTAGTTTTCAATGGTTTTTGCGGTGAGTTTAAGTAAGAACTAGTTTGGTTTTTGATGATTTGATTTTATGCTGTAGGATTTAAGTCTGCGTAGTAAGATTTATTTTTCATCTTTTGTTAGAAAATGATTTTGTTGGTTTCTATGTTTTTTTAACCCTTGATTTTTGAAAAGGAGTATATTGCATTCGGATGTTCAGAGAAATTGGAGTGTTTTTGAAATGATGGTTCTCTTTGTCCTCGCATCTCGGTTTTATCTTTTGCTGCTGTAGGAGTATTTCTTATCTTTCAATGTTGTATGCCTTTTTTAAAAAACAAAATTGAGCAATTAGATGATCATTTCATCCCCAGATCAACACATAATCAAGAAAGATCAAAGTTGCTGCAAAAATGTTTAGTTTTTTATTAATTCATTATTCTTTTTTAATTTTGCTACAAAGTTGCAGTCTAACTGGTTGTCCACTCCAAGTTAAATAACCAACCTGCATTCCTAAAAATTCAATGCCCTTTCTTTTTCTGTTGTGTGGCATTTTAATTTTAATTTCTAATGTAGCTAAGCATGTAATGTAGGATATATATAGTGGTTAAACTACTTTAGCACATTTCCTATATATGATTAGTAAATGACAAAGGTGGTGCAAAAAATTCCATTTTGTATGGTTGTATCAGTGGCATTGCAATTCTGTTCATTCTATATTGTAGAAAAATTCAGTGATCAGCAATCAGCGCTAATTTTAACTTAAAATAGCAAAGATAGAGATGGGTCTCAACACAATTTTCTCATCATTTTTCTGCAATTATTTTTAAGGTTTTGCTAATAAGTGCCTGGGGTTTTGGGCACATATCTTGGAATTTGTGTATTCAATTCTTTGAAGTTTAAAAATTGTTCATTTAAACAGGTTTCTTAACACGTTTCCTTAAGACACTTGTTAGCATTTGCCTTATTCTTATCCAGAAAGCATATGGATTATATATGATGAAATAATTTGAAGCTCTTGATTCTTTAGGATGGCTTATGATAGTCATGTTTTTTCATTGCATATAGTCTCCTATGTCTTGTTTCATTTACACAGTTACTGAAATCTTTTGCTTATATTTAGTGATGGTTTTTACACAGGTTGGTTCAATTGCTGCTGGTGGTCGATATGATAACCTTATAGGAATGTTTGGTTCAAAGCAAGTTCCAGCAGTTGGTGTAAGTCTGGGAATCGAAAGAGTATTTGCCATAATGGAGCAACAACAGAAGGATCAGAACCAGGTGATCATAATGCTTGATAACTAACTTCTGTAGTTTTTTTTTTACGTCAAAAAGAGAAATCTTCCATGATTATTCCTTATACCAAAACCCATTTTAACATCTAAACATAACTGCCATTGCATAATTCTGCCGCTGATTATTTCCTAAACCCATCAGACAGATACTCATACAATTTCTTATGATGTTTGGCTGATGACTTAAGTTCAGTACCAGTGGGGTGCATTTATTCACTAGTGATGTTTACAGCTCACTTTTACCTATTTTCTTTTTCTTTTTGTTGTTTCTTTGGCGTGAAAATGATAATAAAACTGATCTTAGTTGTTTCCTTTTGGTTATAATCTTACAAAATTCATGTCCTTTTCAAGTTATGAACGTTCGAGTTACATTATTGCATCGAAAGACAACCACTATTTTCCTTTTTATAATTTTTTGTTTTTTCTAGTTGGCCCGACCAACCAAGACAGAAGTCTTAGTGAGCATATTAGGGAATGACGTAACACTAGCTGGAGAGCTAGCTGGTGAACTATGGGATGCTGGTGTGAAAGCAGAATTCTTGGTGAACAAAAGAAGACCGAAACACTTTGACTATGCAAAAGAATCAAGAATCCCTTGGATGATACTCGTTGGTGAGCAGGAAATAAAAGAAGGCACAGTGCAGTTGAAAAGCCTCGAGTCAGGTAATGATGTGAACATAAACATTCCTAGAGGAAATTTTGTGGAGGAACTTCGGAAGCGGTTAAACCTGTAAGCCCCCGTATTTGCAGCACCCTACATAGCTTGTGTTTGGGAGTAGGTGTTTTCACAGTGATATTTTGTGGCAATTAAGTTAAGTGAGACACCTCACATTGGCACTACTGTGGTTCCACCATTCGCACCGCCGTTTAAAAAATATGCATTGTATTTCAATGTTTGTTGTACGTTAGAGTTGAAAGAGTATATGTAGGCCTTTTCTATCATTTGTTGTTTTGTATTCATTTATCAAATTTAGTTGAGAGAATAACTTGTGAAGGCCTTGAGTTTGCTTTTATTGAAAAAGATTAATTTTTTATTCAGTAAGATCAATCAAGACTTTGGCTCCCAAACTAAGCAGGAAAACAACCTTTACATTATGTTGTTTGTTTATATTTTTCTTTCAATTTGTATTTGGTTGTATACCTTCCAATTTGTATTTGGTTGTATACCTTCCAATTTTAAAAGTTACTTTGAAATAAACCAATTTGAATGAAGTTGAAGGAATATATTCATTGCATTGTGTAGTGATGTGGAAACACAATTACACACAGGGATGAATCTTTTTTGGCTGGTTGAATCTATCATAGCCTCTCAATGAGAGGGTGTTCGTGGAAACATAATCCGATGTCAAACATAAGACAATTTAAAGTAAGGTTTTGGATGAAATTGTAGAGTTTGACTTGAAAAAACAATTAACATGATCTTGTTTTTATAAGGTTTTGGGTGAAAGTGAAGTAGGGTTTAACTTCATAAAAATTGGTTTTCAAGTCCCCTTGCTTCACAAGAGATTCTCACTATAATCAAAATATGATTACAATTGCTTATGCAATCTGCATAAGACTTTTACAATTGTTCAGACTCAAGGTTCAAGACTTCTGCTCAAGCTCCTCACTCGAGACTTCTTGCTCAGGTTTCATGAACCCAAGACTTCCTTACTCAGGCTTTCAGCGTAAGATTTTTGTTCTAAGTCCCATGAAACGAGCCTCCCTGCTTGAACCCCTCTGGTCAAGACTTATTGCTCAAATTCCATGTACTGAGCTTTCTTGCTCAAGCCTTCTGCTCTAGGTCCCAGAAATGAGCCTCGCTGCTTGCACCCCTCTGGTTAAGACTTACTGCTCCAAATTTTATGCACCGAGCTATCTTGCTTATCCCACATTGACTCAAGACTCCGTGCTTAATCAATCTACTTGATTAAGACTTTCACTGCTCAAGCACATAGCAAGAGACTTACGTGGCTCAAACATCTTGACTCGAGACTTCCTTGCTTGTATCCCAAGGATACAAGACTTCTGCTCAATCAGCCTAGTTGATTAAGACTTTCACAGCTCAAACACATAGTAAGAGACTTACGTGGCTCAAACATCTTGGCTCAAGACTTCCTTGCTTGTATTCCAATGCCACAAGACTTTTATCTAAACTGCTGAACAAGCTCAGCAGAATAGAGAACAAGGTGTACATGATACAAGTATCAGAGGTACGAGGAATCACCATAACAAAGACCTAAAGCACTTAAGATTTCTAAGGTATTCAATGTGTAAGAAATCTTAAGGCTTTTATAATTACAACCTACATCATAAAATCTGCATATACAATGTGTTGATAATTGCTGATCTTGTTACTCTTTCTTCTGGTTGATCCTTGTTAAAGATTCAGTTTGAACCTTCAACCATATTTATGGCCTTTTCAGACACTGGCCGTTGAAGAGGAAACTTGATCAAGAGTCTTTGCTGTTACTCTATAGTACAAGAGCCGTTGAAGATAGATACACCAGAAGATCTTGATTAAATGTAATATGTTTAACCTTTGAGTCTTTAAGAGATTATTTACTATTAAAGCTGTTGAGATTAGATATCCATAAAGCATCTCAGCTTTTCTTGAGCCTTGCAATCTGTAGACTCTAGCTGACAAACTGATTTGACAATACAACTTGCTTTCTGCAGTACAGGCACCTTCAGCTTTATCACCAACTTCGAATGGTACCAAAAGCCAATTTGCATTCACTAAGTGTAGAGACAATTATGTTTTTAGTTCTAATGCTGAGACCTTCAACTTCAGAGTCTACGCCAGACATCACTTAGCAAGTGTTCTTCAAATTCTGCCACTAGAAGCTAGCAATTCAACAACTCTCAAAGTGTGCTTAATGCAAAACAAATTATGACTATAATATTTACAAGTATTAGAACCTGCACGCATGCAATACACATCAAATAAACCATTGTTCTTTCAATACTTTGTTATCATCAAAACCCAAGGAAAATATGTCATGAACAAATCTTGTTCTAATAATCTCCCTTTTTTTGATGATGACAAACATAAGTATTTAAAGGACAATGTTGGGCAGTTTTAATTTTCTCTGCAACATCAAGGTAAGAGAAAATTACAACTGCATTACTTTTTCTTAGAAGTAGTGCCTAGTATGAAGCCCAACATTGTCGTGTGAAAAACATAAGTACTTTTTCTTAAAATTGAATTACTTTTTCATACTAGGCACTACTTTTAAGAAAAAGTAATTCAGTTTTCTTAGTAACATCAGAGTATAAACCCCCCTGAGTCAAACAGTTCCAAGGTTGAGGTTTGTAAGCCCCCCATTAGTTCCATATTTAAGAAGACCAAAAATAATATTTTAACTTCCTTTGGCAACATCAAAATACGAGGTTTGTAAGCTCCTTCTAAGTCTGATAGGCTAAGTCTAAGATTTTTAAGCTCTTCCTTAGTTCTATGTACAAGAAAGTTAAAATGTGTCGCTCGAGCAAGATAATCATAAAAAAAATATAAATAACAAAATTATGAATGACCAGTATGTACAACTGAATAGGTACTCAATGAATTCAGTTTCTAATTAAATACTTACCATTATTTCTCCCCCTTTTGTCACATAAAAAAGAAATAAAAAGAGAAGAAGAAGAGAATTATAGTCATAAATGCATCACATGCCATCATTACAGGATCAATTTCCAAGAAATTGAAAAATGATCAAGTAACATGGAGTCATTAAGGATTGTATAGTGCATGCTTTAAATTTTTAGTGGTCGTTACTGTTCCAAGAATCAAGCAAGGATTAAATAAGTCGTTTGAGTTACTCATAAGTCATTATAAAAGCAATCCAGACCTAGTTCATTTTCATCAACATCCACCAGAGTCATGGAGTCGTCAGCTGAGAGTCATAAGACTTCTGTAGTGACAGAAATCTATGAGAGCTCTACAAGAAAAGATGTCCAGAATATACATAAACGAGCTATTTCTGAGTCATCCACCACTGGGCCTGTTCCCTTGGTAAAGCTCACTTCTGAAGAGGCGACGTCAGCAACTCCAACACAACCTAAAGGGTAGGTTCATTAGAAGCTGCGATAAAGCCCATAAGAAAGATAATGAAGAGGTCAAAGAGAAGAAGACGGTCCAACAAGATGTTCTACCATCCAATCTCAGAGGTAGAAGAGGAAGAAGCTGATGAGGATGAACTAGACATGAATTATGACAACTATTATCATCATAAGGCTCAGGATGACTTAGATAGGGATTTATACTAAGCACTAGCAGTTCCTTATGAATCAATATTATGTAATCATTCTGCTTCAATTAATGAAAAAGTATTTTTTGACCAAATTTTGTTTATTGCATGCAAATACTTTCAATAACTTCCCTTTGATTTTCTGATAAACATTAATGAAGTAAAGGGACACCAGAAGCAACAATTAAACGAGTTAAGTATAATATTCATAACTATTAAAGAATATTTAATATGTGAAGGCTCTAAGATTTGGCCAAATTTTGGTAAAACATGATGTTGAACAAGATGTTCTAACATGAAGAAATCTGTAAAGAACAACATGCCAGACATGATGTCCTATCTTGAGGACTCGACATCCTGGTCTGATACAACAGATTTGTTGCAGATCTGTTCTAAGATTTAAGATGCAATTAAAACATGGATCAAGGAATGATTGAACAGAGATTTCGAAGCCTATGGATTACTGAAGACTATAAAAGGAAGACCAAGACTGGGAGAAAAATAGGAATCCTCGTTAAGTTTTTAAAGTAAAAATAAGGGTTTAGGATTTTGAGAGTCGTGTGGCTTTCTTGTATTGTAAGTCACCCTTTGTATCAGGTTTGATACATTATGATATACATAGTTTTCATATTCAAAAACCTTTAGGTAATGAATTGTATATTATTCTTGGATGAAACATTTAAACAAATTTAAGTATTAGTGTTATTCACGAGTACTGACTGAATATTATATTGAAATGAATGTCTTTCAATTGAACAGTTTGATACAATCACCGCAGATTGTGACTGTTAGATATCACTGATGTGATTTAGGAATTGAGATGGGTTTCTCTTATATAGATGGGTTTCTAAGTAGAAGTTTCATTGGGTAGGGATTAAGTTAGGAGTTGTAAACTGGAGGTTGTTTAGCTCAGAATTAATACTATTGATAGTGAATTCATTCCTGGCTTGGTAGCCTCTGGATGTAGGTGTTGTTGTACATCGAACTGAGTCATCATATCTTGGTGTTATTTATCATTCTGTTGTATATTTCATTTATTCTTATACTCTCAAATATATGTCCAAACAGATGTTGAAACTTCTGTCATGACACTGTTATGACTTTGAAATATCAGAATGCTCTTGTTCTGTCCTTGTTTATTTAAGCAGAGATCAATGTCTCGACATCTAATGGGACATCTGAGATCTGTATACTAGAATTTCAATTGGTATCAGAGCAGACATCCTGTTCTGTTACTGGATGAGTTCTAGGGAAGATACTTTCTAGTCTTTTGAACAAGGAAGGAGATTGTGTGATTATACCATCCATTACTATTGTGTTTAAGGAGATTGAAATCTAGGAGGATAACCTTCTAAATCCATCATGACAACTACTGATGGTTGTCTGTTACTTCTGTGTAGATTCTTCCACTGCTGTTGGTAATGATGCTATTGTTACACATGATGCCTTATAAAATGTTCTGACATCTCACCTGGCTTGCTGAAGATGGTGTCAGCCTTTTTAAATGT